CAGTCATTGTTGTCTCCTCCTCCTCCTCCTCTTCTTCCTCTTCCTCCTCTTCCTCCTCCTCTTCCTCCTCTTCCATCATCATCATCAAACATAGGGCCTGGCTTGTGCTAGCCAAGTGCTCTGCCACTCAGCTACATATCCAGGCCACTCCCCCTCTTTTTAATTTTTTTAATTTGAGACACGGTCTCACTAGATTGTTTATAGCCTTGCTAAATTGCTGAGACTGGCTTCGAACCCGCCATCCTCCTGCCTTAGCCTCCTAAGTCATTGGGATTACAGGCATGTGCCATCATGCCAGGCTTCCTTGGGAAATGTTTTTGCTAGGCCCTTGTGACATCAGAACTAGAGCAAGTGGAAGGGATAGGGAGGAAAAAGGCAAGTCCTCTTAGGTAGAGCAGAATTCCTGTCTGTCTTTCTGCTTTAGGGCCTCTCTTCCAAAGAAAGAGTTGGGCTCCACAATTTTTGTGTGTGTGTGTGTGTGTGTGGTACTGGGTATTGAACCCAGGGGCACATAGTTCCTGAGCCACATTCCCCAGCCTCTTTCTGTATTTTATTTTGATACAGGGTCTCACTGAGTTGCTTAGGACCTCACTAAGTTGCTGAGGCTGGCCTTGACCTTGCAATCTTCCTGCCTCAGCCTCCCTAGCTGTTGGGATTAAAGGCATGCACTACCCTGAGCTCCACTATTGAAGAGTGACTTTGACCCAGCAGAAGTGGGGGAAGGAGGTTAAGTTGGTGAAGAATTATTCATGGACAGTCCCTCCTCTTTTCTGCAATTGGTTCCTCAGAGTAGGTATCCCAATTGAAAGGGGCAAGCCTCCTTGGGGACTGGTCTCAGGAGAAAGGCAGTGGCTTAATAGAGTGGAGACCTCTCCACAGGTCTGAACCACTTACCCATACAACTCCAGAGACTTGTGGAGAGTATAGACTGGCACCCCAGGTATTGAAGCTGTCTTCTGAATCCAGAGTAGACAGAGGTCAGAATGTTTGGAAGCAAAGCCAACCAACTTTTTTTCTTTCTCTTTTTTTTTAATTAGTGGTATTGGTGATAGAACCCAGGGTACTCTTCCACTGAGCTACATCCCCAGCCCTTTTTATTTTGAGGGTCTCACTAAGTTGTTTAGGCTGGCCTTGTCATCTTCCTGCCTTGGCCTTCCAAGTACCTGGAATTATAGGTGTGTGCCATTAGGTCCTGACTCCAACCAACCTCTTATCATTTCTTTTTCTTTTTTCTTTTTTTTTAAAGAGAGAGTGAGAGAGGAGAGAGAGAGAGAGAGAATTTTTTTTTTAATATTTATTTTCTAGTTCTCGGCGGATACAACATCTTTGTTTGTATGTGGTGCTGAGGATCGAACCCGGGCCGCACGCATGTCAGGCAAGCGCG